ATCTTCGAGAGAGCAGTCTTAAGAAGATCGATGGTAAGCTCAGTGGGGTGCTTCAGAAGAAGCGCGTCGCAGGCTGTGGCTAGGCGGTCAGGGAGGCGAGTGACTAGCTAGTGAATAGTGAGCCACATAGGGGGCGGGGCAAGGGCAAGCTGGTCCTCAGTGCAAGCAGCTCGAAAGCGAGCGTCAAGTGGGTAGCAAGGTCAGAGACAGTCTTAAAGGAGGCGAGGTCAGGGTAGATAAAGGGTACGAGGAGGTGACTGAGTGAAGCAGAGGAGGGAGTGGAGTAGCGAGTAACAATAGCCTTATACAGATTTGCAGCAGACTCGACCTGACTGAAGTGGACTGCCTCTGACGGCGGGAGGAGGTCGATCAGGGCGAGGCAGGCAGCGGCGTCACGAGACTCCCACACGTCGCGAGCAAGGAGCTGGCGCTGGTAGTCGGCCTCCTGCTCAGAAGCAGGCGGTGGGGTAGTGGGCAGCGGCTGAGGCTGCAGAGGGGCGGTCTGAGTGCCGGTCGCGTGTGCGAACAGGTGCACGCCATCCAGCCGCTGGCTCTTAAGGTGGCGCTGCGCCTGCGTAAGCTACGTACTAAAATCAATAGGTCTCCCTTCAGGGTCAAAGCGTAGTACTCGAGAGGTCGCCATAGAGGGCGAAACAGAGAGAGTTTCAAACAGCAGGAGGGGGAGACAATCAGTAGCGTGTGGGCAGGTGCGCAGGCGTGCAGGCGGGTAGGTGGCGCAGCATGTGGATAGACGGGCGGCGCAGCGCGCTGGCTGGCGGGCGACGCGGCGCGCTGGCTGGCGGGCGGCGCGGCGGGTCAACGGGCGTGCGGCGCGACGTGCTAGCGGCACGACGCGCGGGCCTACGGGCGGCGCGTCGGGTTGACGGGCGGGCGGCGCAGCGGCTCGACGAGCGGGCGGCGCGGTGCGCTGGCGGGCAAGCTGCGCGGCGGGTCGACGGGCGGGCCGTCCGTGGCGCGCTGGCGTGGCACGCTGGCGTGCGTGCTGGCGTGGCGCGTTGGCGTGCGCGCGGGCTAGGGCGTTTAGGGCAGATGGGAAGGAAAGCGGCGGCCTAAGTCAAAGTACGGCGGAGACTAGGCGGCGGCCTAAGTCTAGGAACGGCGGAGACTAGGTGAGGCCTAGGAACGCCGAACCTACTGGTGATACCATCTCAGAAACTAAAAACAGCGGAATGAGTTGGATTGATTGGGTTGGGGTACAAATGCTAACCCCAACTGTTTGTACCCCATATAGCATGACCTGTCAAATGTTATATCTGTTACAGTTTGTTTAGGCTGTAGTGGGGTAGTTACTATAGGGTACAGTAAGTTTAGGGTTTCCTACTTGTACCAAACACTTTCCTAGTGCATTCACTCTTGTTCAATTCTAACATGGTATTACGAGCCTAGGTTAGGAACCTAGGACCGCTTAGTCCTAAGGGCTTGCCTTTCAGCTAGCGCCCTTGAGCGCCTTATCGCTTTAGCGCCCTCGTGCGCCTCACTGCCAGTGCGCCCTCACGCGCCTCTCCTCCTCTCGCTGCCCGTGCGCAGCCCGCTAGCCGCCCGCGCGCGGCCCGTTTTTTCTTCTAGCGTGCGCAGCCCACTAGCAACCCGCGTGCGACCCAAGTCGCGCGCGCGTCGACTGTTAGCCGCCCGAGCAACCAGCGCCGCCCACGAGCAGCCTCGTTAGCCACCCGTCAACCGGCCGTGCTGGCTGCGTAGCGCGCTGCAGCCCCGCCCGCCTTAGTAGGCCGTCGCCACGCCTTAGTAGGCCGCCGCCACGCCTTAGTAGGCCGCCGCCCGCGGGCGCCTGCAGCCCACGCGCAGCCGCGGCCCGTACTCGACACGACCCACACGCAGGCCCGCCGCCGCGCCGCCCTGCCCGAGCCGCGCCGCACTGCCCTGCCCGAATTGAGCCGCGCAGCCCTGTCCTAGCCGCGCTGCCCTCCTGTTACTGCTGTTCCTGCTGTTACTACTGCTACTGCTACTGCTGTTCCTGCTGTTCCTACTGATACTGCTGCCACTATGGCTACACCCACAGTTCTCTCTTTCGATGCTGAGGGCCGTCCGCTCCAGTTTGATGCTTGGCTCGATGATCTGCACCTGTTCCTCCAGATCACCGCTAAGGATGATGTCTCGGTGTATGACCATGCGTCCGGAACCACTCTAGCACATGCTAACACTACTGACAGTACAGCTCGCTCCCAGTGGCAGACTCGTGACGCCCATGCTCGCCTAGCCATTCGCAGTCACCTGCCGCTAGATGAGCGCGCCCACTTTGGGCAGCACAAGACTGCTAAGGCACTGTATGATGCGGTAGTCGCCCGCTACTCCTCGCCTGCCTCTGGTACGATAGGCCGTCTCTCGCTGCCCTATCTCTTCCCCGATCTCGCCGCCTTTCCCACAGTCGCTGACCTCATTACACACCTCCGCACTAGTGACACTCGCTACCGCGCCGCCCTTCCTGCTGAGTTCCTTGCCAAGAACCCTCCCCCGATGTACCTCGTTCTCTACCACCTAGTCACCCGTCTCCCTGACTCTCTTCGCGCAGTCAGGGACCACTTTCTTGCCCTCTGCCCCACCGAGCTCACCATTGACCTCCTCGAAAAGCATATGCTTGCAGCTGAGTCTAGCATAGTTGCTGTAGGTGCCTCTCGTGGCGACCCCCGCACGCCCTTTTTTTACGGGTGTTCCCCTCCCCCCCTTCTCCCCTCGGTCGCCTCTGCTGCCGCTGTCGACTACCTTGGTGCTGAGGAAGTCGGGGCTGCGTCTGCTCCTAGTTGGAGGCGCAAGAGCGGCAAGGGCAAGGGGGGCAAGGGTGGTGGCGGTGCCAGCAGGGGAGGTGGAGGTAGAGGTGGAGGCGGTGGGGGCGGTGGGGGTGGTGGCGGTGGTGGGGGTGGTGGCGGGGCTGGGGGGGTCAGTGGCAGCGGCGGGGGTGGTGGCGGCAGTGGTGGTGGAGGAGGCCGGGATGGAGGTGGTGGTGGTGGCGGCAGTGGGCGTGGTGGCGGCGGCTTGGGTGGTGGTCGGGGCGGACCAGCGCAGCGTGGAGGTTCGAGTGGTGTCCAGCGCCAACAGCAGCGTCTCGGAGAGACCCAGACGCCCCAGCAGCTTCGTGAGTGGTACTCTCAGCATGGGGGGTCTGGGGGTGGAGGTACCTGCACGTATGTCATCCGCACAGGTGACCGCGCTGGTCAGACGTGTGGGAGGTTCCACACGCCGCAGCGCTGCTTCTTCCGACTCGACGACGCCTTGCGTGCACAGTTCCCTGAGGCATCTGAGCTGCCCCGCTGGGCTGATCTGCCTAAAAAGAACATTGATGTCTTTGCACTTGACTTTGATGTTATCCTTGGAGCCATGTATGCATTGACTATTAGTGTTGAGGGTGACTGTTACTTGTGTGTGCCGCCAGACCTAGGCATTGCGACCAGTGAGGCTGCCGCTCTAGGTGCCAGTACGCCGGGTCCTGGTGAGGCTGCTGCTCTAGAAGCAGGTGTGTCTGCTGCTTCAGGTGCTTGTGAGTCTGCGCCTTCAGGTGCTACGTCTACTGAGGCACTGCACACCTTCACACTGGACTCAGGTGCTTCCCGCTGTTTCTTTCGCGACCGCACTGCCCTCGAGCAGCTCCCTAGGCCTGTTGCTGTCTCCCTGGCTGACCCCTCCGGGGGTCTGGTCCTTGCGACCTCCACCACTGCCCTCCCTTGTCCTGCTGTCCCGTCCGGCACACTATCGGGCCTTTACCTCCCCTCGTTCTCTACGAACTTGGTGGCCGGTTCCGCGCTCTAGGATGTGGGTGTTCACCAGTTATCTCCTGCCTACGAGCGTGTGACACACTGCACGTGTGCCCAGACGGGTCGTCACCTGGCTACCTTCACTCGGCAGCCGGGGTCGGACTTGTACACACTGACCACTAAGTCTCCTCAGGTAGCTGCGTCTACGTCTGCGTCAAGTCAGTTGTCCGCCCCCTGCTCGTGTCGCGCCCTGTCGCACCGGACGGTCCTCTGGCACCACCGCCTTGGACACCCTTTGATGCAGCGCCTTTGTGGCATGCACTCTCGTTTCCTTGTCTCTGGTCTCCCCAGGTCACTGCCTCCCCTGCCACCGTCCCCTGCCCCTCCTTGCCTTCCCTGTGTTGAGGGGCGACAGCGAGCCACCCCCCACTCCTCTGAGTTCCCCCCGACAGAGGCCCGTCTGCAGACCCTTCACATGGACGTGTGGGGCCCAGCCCGCGTCCGTGGACAGGGCGGAGAGCGCTACTTCCTACTGGTAGTTGACGACTACACGCGTTACACCACGGTCTTCCCCTTGCGCACCAAGGGAGAGGTCCTTGCTGTCTTGATCCCTTGGATCCGCGCTAGTCGTCTCCAGCTGGAGAGACCCTTTTGCACGGACCTTCCCGTCCTGCGACTGCACTCTAACAGAGGTGGTGAGTTTTCCTACGGCCTCTTGGAGGCCTTCTGTCAGGGGGAGGGCATTCGCCAGACGTTCACGCTTCCAGCCACTCCGCAGCAGAATGGGGTTGCTGAGCGCCGCATTGGCTTGGTCATGGAGGTCGCTCGTACCTCCTTGATCCATGCGGCTGCCCCCCATATTCTGTGGCCGTTTGCGGTCCGGTATGCTGCGCATCAGCTCAACCTCTGGCCCCGTGTCTCCATGCCGGAGACCTCGCCGACATTGTGTTGGACGGGAGAGGTTGGCGATGCGTCCGTGTTCCGGGTCTGGGGTTCTCGTGCCTTTGTCCGCGATACGTCCGCGGACAAGCTCTCCTCCCGCGCCGTTCCTTGTGTCTTCCTGGGCTTTGTCCCTGACGCGCATGGCTGGCAGTTTTACCACCCCACCTCGTAGAGAGACAGCAACAGGTGCGGAGAGTGGTGTGACTGTGGTACTGTCGCGAAAGAAACAACAAGAAGCATCTGAGTCAAGCGTGAAGGTGTGCAAGGCCGAAGCAGACGCAGTACCAGCGAGAGCAGACTCACCAGCACCTAGAGTAGCAGACTCACTAGCACCTAAGCAACCTCTATACCTGGGTCTGGCGGCATACACAGGTAACAGTCACCCTCTGCACTAACAGTATATGCATACATGGCAGATAGTATAGCATCATAATCAAGAGCAAAGATGTCCACACCCTGCTTAAGCAGCTCTGCCCAGCGGGGGAGCTCAGGCGCGTCTAGAAACTCTGTGCGGATGGCATGGATAAGACGAGAGAAGCAGCGGTACTGGGTGTGGAGCTTCCTGCATGTCTGACCAGTGAGGTCACCTGTGCGAATGACATACGGGCAGGGACCACTAACCCCAGCCGCTCCACGCTGAGCAAACCACTCACGTAGCTCCTGGGGCGAAAGCTGCCGCTGTTGCTGCCTCTGACCACCACCCAGGCCTCCCCTCTGACTCGTACCACCCCGGCCGCCACCATTGCCACCGCCTCCACTCCCACTGTAGCCACCACTGCCGCCGCCACTACCGCCACTGCCGCCACCACTGCCGCCACCTACACCTCCACCCCCACCACCACTCCCTCTGCCACCGCCGCCCCCTCCACCGCCTCCACCGCCCCCACCACGCCTCCACCTCTGCCGCCCCCACCGCCCCTGCCTCCCCTGCCCCTGCCGCTGCGGCGCCTCCCACTAGGGGCAGACACAGCTCCTATCTCCTCAGCACGAAGGTAGTCAACAGCTGCAGCAGAGGCGACTGAGGGGAGAAGGGGGGAGGGCGAACACCCCTCAAAGAAGGGGGTGCGAGGAGTGCCACGAGAAGCGCCTACTGCGACTATGCTAGTCTCAGCTGCAAGGAGGTGCTTCTCGAGCAGGTCGACAGTGAGGGTGGTGGGGTCAACGGCTAGAAGGAGGTCCTGGACGGCGCTAAGAGAGTCAGGGAGGCGGGTGACTATGAAGTAGAGAGTGATGTACATGGGAGGCGGGTTCTTGGTGAGAAACTCGGCGGGAAGCGCAGCGCGGTAGCGAGTGTCACTAGTACGAAGGTGAGTGACGAGGTCAGCTACTATGGCAAAGGCGGACAGCTCTGGGAACAGGTAGGGCAGGAGAAGGCGGCCTAGAGCAGTAGTGGCCGGGGAGGAGTGACGAGCGACTACAGCGCCGTACAGTGCTTTTGCAGTCTTATGCTATCCGAAGTGAGCGCGTTCGGCTAACGGCAGGTGGTTGCGAACGGCTAAGCGAGCAGCAGCGTCACGAGTAAGCCATTGTGAGCGAGTCGCACTGTCAGATGTGGCGGCAGGGGCGGGAGCGGCGCCAGACGTGAGGTCAAACAGTGAGACTCCGTCCTTGGAATCGCTCAGTAAGAACAGCTGTAGGTTGTCGAGCCACGCATCGAAGTCTATTAGGCGGCCCTCTGGATCAAACGTGAGGACACTGAGCGTGGCCATAGCGAGCAGAGCGGTCGGGCGTGCTAATAGCAGAGCAGCACGCGGACAGCAGTCCCGCAGGCAGGGTAGGGCAGTCGCGCTTGCTGGCACTACACTGGCACTACGGTGGCAGTGACAGTAGTGCAGTAGAAGCAGGGCAGTTGCAGCAGTAGGGCAGTAGGGACAGCGGGCTGGCAAGGTGTAGGGCCAGTGCAAGTGCACGGGCGGCAGGGCAGGTGTGCACGGGCCTGGCGCGGGCTGTACGGACTGCGTGCAGGCCTAGCGCGGGCTGTACTAGCTGCGTGTGGGCCTGGCGCGGGCTGTACGGGCTGCGTGCCAGTCGTGCACGGGCCGTACGGGCTGTACGCGGGTGGTGCGCGGGCTGTATGGGCTGTGCAAGGGCGGCGCGCGGGCTGTACGGGCTACGCGCGGGTGGTTCGCGGGCTAAACGGGCCTGGTGCGGGCTGTACGGTCCACGCTCGGGCGGTTCGCGGGCTAAACGGGCCGGGCGCGGGCTATACGGTCTATGCTCGGGCGGTTCGCGGGCTAACCGGGCAGATTTCGGGCAAGAAAAAAAAGCTAAACGGTGGGCCCTCCAAAAAAATGGTCCTTAGGAAGGACCCGCTCTATACCATGTCGAGAAAAATAGTGTGTTGATTAGGTCAAGGGGAGGGGTACAAGAACAACATCGAGTGAATTTCTGTACCCCCTAGTGCTAACACCCATATAGCCTACACAGCATAAGCATTTATGTTTTGACAACTCGCCAAATCAGCCTATTCTGTATGTGTAAACGTTTGCAGCAAGGGTAACAAACAAAACAGGCATGCAAAATCAGGGTAACCTCCAAAAAGCGGTCGTTTGCAAGTGTAATCAATGTGTTATACCCTTGAAAAATAGGCCCTAACGCGATCCACTCAGAATCATACGTGCTAAAGGGCGATTGCAGTGTGGTATTGTAATGCCTTACACTCTCCCACCTTCTAAATCAGGCAGCCTTGTACGTATCGTAAAAGGGTCCCACACTAGCAAAGATGCCGTTGATATTTTTCTCAGCTGAATCCGCCGACTGAAATGCGTTTTGCTAATTCGAATGGAGGTTGGAATGTAGGCCATTGATGAAGGTAGATCTCGACTTGAAGGATGGAATTGGTCTTGACCAGAACGAACTCAAAGTTGGAATGTGGATTGTAGATGAAACATGATGTTGATCTGACGGTCGAAATGGGCGCGAGATTGGAGGGAACCTCCTTACGCGAATTTCAGATGCGATTGAGCAAGGACCGTTGATTTCGATGGCGCAATCGCGCTCGTTCGTCGTGCTGTTAAAGTCTGACGAAATCAAATATTTTGCCGAAGGAATGTCAACGGGAGTTGGGTGTTGGCCCCGTCCTCGCTTGGGCGGAGCTGACTTCGTGGTCGGTTGTGCGGGAGGTGCAGCCGACCGACTGCAGTGTGCGACGCCGACTTGGGCGAGCAGATCGACAGGCTTCGTCGACCTGCACTGGGGGCCACTGCGAAGCTGCCGATAATTGGAAGCTGGCGGCCGCAAACCCGTCGTGGTGATCAGCAAAGGGCGACGTGTCAGAACTATACTCTAGGCTGTAGTGGGGCACTCCTTATGGGGTACAACCCTATTAGGTTTTGCCTACACAAACCTTGTACTGTTCTCATTCTAGTCATTCCTTGTTCTCATTCTCACATGGTTTTAGAGCAGGTTCCCTTGTGGGAACGTTTTTTTAGGGCCCACCACAAACTTTTTTTTTATGCCCTGCCCGACGCGCACTGTCGTGCCTACCTGCCTCATCATGCGCCTTGCGCCTGCCTACCCGCGCCTTAGAGCGCCTGCCCTGCCCGCGCCTGCTCTACCCGCGCCCTCGAGTGCCAGCCCGTTGCCCCGCCCTGCAAGCCGCGCGCGGACCCCGCGGCGCTGCCCCTGGACCCCGCGGCGCTGCCCCTGGACCCCGCGGCGCTGCCCCTGGACCCCGCGGCGCTGCCCCTGGACCTCGCGGAGCCGCCCCTGGACCTTGTGGCGCTGCCCCTGGACCCCACAGAGCCGCCCCTGGACCCCGCGGCGCTGCCCCTGGACCCCGCGGCGCTGCCCGCGGACCCCGCGGAGCCGCCCCTGGACCCCGCGGCGCTGCCCCTAGACCCCGCGGCGCTGCCCCTGGACCCCGTGGCGCTGCCCCTGGACCCCGCGATGCCGCCCCTGGACCCCGCGACGCCGCCCCTGGACCCCGCGACGCCGCCCCTGGACCCCGCGACGCCCCTGCGGGACCTGGGCATCGCCCTAGCTCGTCGCGACGCCCCTGCGGGACCCGCGCGGCGCCGCTCCTACTCGTCGCGACGCCCCTGCGGGACCCGGGCGTCGCCCTTACTCGTCGCAACGACCCTGCGGGACCCGCGCGGCGCCGCTCCTGCTCGTCGCGACGCCCCTGTGGGACCTGCGCGGCACCGCTCCTGCTCATCGCGACGCCCCTGCGGGACCCGGGCGTCGCCGCTGCTCGTCGCGACGCCCCTGCGGAACCCGCGCGGCGCCACTCCTACTCGTCACGACACCCCTTCGAGACCCGCGCGGCGTCGCCCCTGCTCGTCGCGGCGCCCCCTGGGAGTCGTCCCTGCTCGTCGCGGCGCCCCCTGGCCGCCGCGCCCTGCCTCATCTGCGGCCCGCCCGCGCACTGCCCCACCCCGCGCCCGCCCTTGCCCTGCCTTGCCGCCGTTGCGTCTGCAGCAGCCGCCGCGGCCCCCCCGTAGCCGCTATCGCGGCCCTGCCTCGCCATTGCCGCTGTCGCGGCCCTGCCCAACCGTAGCCGTCGTCGTGCCTGCAGCCGCCGTCGTGGCCCCGTCGTAGCCGCCGTCGCGGCCCCGCTGCAGCCGCCTGTCGAGCGCCTGCAGCCACCCGCCGAGTGCCTGCCCACCGCCGCCGATGGCGTCTGCCCTACCCGCCCCTGGTGAGCACCTGCCCTACCCGCACTGCCCGCTTCTTCTACTGCTACATTGCCACTCCTGCTGCTACAAGCGGTGGCCAGATGCAGCTCCAGTGACGTCCGCGTGAGTCCCTCACCCCCCAGCAGCTTCGTAAGTGGTACGCTAGTTGGGGTTGTAGGGGTGGCCGTGGTGGGAGTCGCCCTGGAGCGGGTCGTACGGGAGCTTCTTGTAGTGGCCAGGTGCAGCTGCAGCGGCGTCCGCGCAAGATCCTTTCGCCCCAGCAGCTTTGTGAGTGGTACGCTAGTTGGGGTTGTAGGGGTGGCCGCGGTGGGAGTCGCCCTGGAGCGGGTCGTTCGGGAGCTTCTTGTAGTGGCCAGGTGCAACTGCAACGGCGTCAGCGCGAGATCCTTTCGCCCCAGCAGCTTCGTGAGTGGTACGCTCAGAGTAGAGGGTCACGGAGTACTGCTCACTGCCCGTACATCATTCGCACAGGTGCTCGGGCTGGTCAGCCTTGCGGGACGGTTGGTCACACCGAGTCCCGCTGCTTCTCCTGTCTGAGCGACGCCTGGCGTACAGAGTTTGGCGACGACGCTGAGCTCCCCTCCTGGCTGGAGCTGCTTAGGCAGAGGGTAGATATCTTTGCTCTTGACTATGATGCTGTCCTCACTTCCACTTATGCGTTGCCTACTAGTGCTGAGGGTGCCTGTTACCTGTGTGTGCCGCCTGACCCAGGTATAGAGTCTACTGCTCTAGGTGCTGGTGAGGCTGCTGCTCTAGGTGCTGGTGCGTCTCTTGCTCCAGGTGCCGGTGAGGCTGCTGCTCTTGGCGCTAGTGAGTCGACTGCTCCAGGTGCTGGTGAGTCTGCTCTCTCTGGTACTGCGCCTGCTGCGGCCTTGCACACCTTCACGCTTGACTCAGGAGCTTCCTGCTACTTCTTTCGCGACTGCACCACACTCACGCCGCTCAGTCGGCCGGTGGCAGTCTCTCTGGCTGACCCCTCAAGGGGTCCGGTCCTTGCACACTCCTCCACGGTTCTGCCGTGTCTGGCGGTCCCGTCTGGCTCTCTATCTGGCCTCCACCTCTCCTCGTTCTCCACCAACTTGGTGAGTGGAGCTGACCTTCAGGACGCGTGGGTTGACCAGTTCTCTTCTGGAGGTCAGCCGGTGACCCACTTTTTATGTACTCGGACGGGCCGACACCTGGCCACGTTCACCCGTCAGCCTGGGTTGAGCCTGTACACCCTGACTACCGTGTCTCCTCCGGTTGCTAAGTCTGGTCAGGTCGCCGCGTCGGGTCAGGTGTTTGCTGCAGCGTCCCGGTCTGGTCCTGAGTCTGCCCCCTGCTCGTGTCGCCTTCTGTCTCACCAGACTCTCCTCTGGCACCACCGCCTTGGTCACCCCTCCCTGCCCTGACTACAAGGCATGGCCTCCCGTGTCCTTGTCACTGTTCTTCCCCGGTCTCTACCTCCCCTTCCCCCGCGGCCTGCCCCTACCTGCGTTCCTTGCATCGAGGGGCGGCAGCACACCGCTCCTCACTCCTCCGAGTTCCCTCCGAAGGAGGCTCCCCTGCAGACTCTTCACATGGACGTGTGGGGCCCAGCCCGCGTTCGTGGACAGGGTCAC